TATCAAAAAAACCTAATGTCAGGCCCGGTCATCAAGGCTTGATGATCCAAGAAAAAGCCTTGTCCGAGCCTGCGTGAGTCCATAAGCATCTCTGGCTGATGTAAGCTTGTAAGTGTATAAGTAAGGCTATGAAACCAAAGACGCTTACGGACCTACGCAGCCTCGATCGGGGCTTATTCTTGGGTCATTAAGCCTTGATGACCAGAGGCTGGCATTAGCCGTTTTTCGTTATTGAGTAGGCTTTAGAGACTACCAGAAAATCACACCTATGAGTTGTGTTGACTCTGCTAGTAGAATTTTCCAACAATGCTGTGAGTAGCGCTAACGTTTTCATTGAATTTCACATTGTCTTGCTTTGCAAAAAGGTGTTTTCATCCCAGCTGAAGTGGACTGCAGTTTAAACCTCGGCCAGGTCTTAGAAAAACCCCTGTCGGGACTCTAACTATGACAATACAGCTTATAATATCGACGTGTTAACAATTATGTCACATTGCCACGAGTGCCTGTGGGTCACAGGGCAGATGTGACTTTCAAAGGAGGCCAGGCTATTTTTCCACATCATATTCTTTGGTGGGATTGTCGATGAAGCAAACTTATATTTGCTGTAGCAATCAACGATATTGCTTTTTTTTAGTTAGTTAAAAGGTTTTCGAGAGTACCACTCTTGAATGACAGCACCTTTTGAGAAAAGCAAGGTAATGTGAAATTCATATAATTGTGGGAAAATTCATCTACCAGACCTGCATCACGTTAAGCGAAACAAGGTTAGCACAACTCATATATTAGCCTTTTTCGAGCACTCTAATTTACGAATAGTACCGCGTATAGACCTTAACACGCACACACACACGCACACACACACATACATACACACAAAAGTATAAATACCATGACCAACATGAAAGATAACTAGCCAAGTCATTCTATACCCATCTACCTATGTCTGTCCATTTTTGTCCTTTACTTATGAGTATGTCGAAGAGGTAATAAAAGTTGGGTTTCGAGGAGTCTCTTGTTTCACAATTGTTGAGTTTACTTCCATTTCGAGTGAAAGTGTTGGGTGAAGAGATTTGAAGGACGAATCGGAGGAGCTTGCCTCGGAAACAGCATCAGCATGAATGTTCCAGTAAAGCCAATCGACAGCTGGTCGTCTTCTGGTGGGATCGAGCTTCGAATATCTTCACCAAACCCTTTCCCTCGAAATGGAAGCAAGCTCAACAGGTGAGATAGAGCCGGACAATCTTCTTGGTTTTCTTTTTTGTCTGAGGATTTTGGTCGGCCCGTTTCCATCTGAAACAAGGGAAGATGTCTCGTGGACTGCGTCAACCGGAAGTTTGTATTCAAGCCAGACAGCTGCGGTCGTCGACTTCTTCGTGCATTTCCATGAAAAAATGAAGCTCTCTTTGCCAGTTTAACTTTGACTTGGTCTTTGCGACTTGGTCGGAGCGACAGGGAGACCTCATGGAAGGCACCGCGACCTGAGTTCTCAGGCCTCGAGGATTCATGATGACATTCTGCATGATTGCCATTTGGGAATGTACCAAGTCCGCGGTCCGATGGTGGAAATCATCAAGAATATTTGAGGTCAAAAGGTCTCCTGACGTCTGTGGTCGTCAAGTGTGCAGATGAATGAATGACGAGGCATAGCAACGGCAACAACAGCCTCACCTGTACCATTTCTGAGGCGGAGGCTTTGAAGAGCTCGACGTAACGGTCGCCGAGGTAGTCTTTGTGCCGGGCCAAGGCTCGAGACGCCATCAGTTCGTCGGGAAAGAGGACGAAGGCATCTCCGGTCGGCCGATGGTCGGGATAGGCGACCAGATAGACGCCCGGCTCCCGGTCGCCGGCGAGGCCCGATGCGGTGGGCGGACGCATCTCTAGTCCGAGTCCCGGCCTGCCGCCACCATCCGTGCCTGCCGAGTTGTGCGAGGCCAATTGGCTCGGTTTGGCCAACCAAAGCACGAGAGCCTTCACTTCGGCAAAGAAGGCCACCTACAATTGAAGAGACGTGGGCCGGCAAATAGGAGAAGGATGAAGGGAGAGAGAAGTGTCGTGTACTAGCGGTTGCTGGGGCGATTGATAGACATTTGGATGGGGGAGTGGTGTTAACACGTCGGAGGGGAGGGTGG